AGTCCGGTGGCTCACGTGGAGCCGGTGGAGGGGGCTGGCAGCCATGGCGTCTCCTCGAGCCGGGGGCGGAGGGGCAGTTCGACACGAGCTGTCACATTTATCAGCGCCGGGCACCCCGGGGAGCAGAACGAGAAGTGAAGTGTTGGTTATGTGAGCGGTGCAGCCAACATGGAATGCCTCCTCAAAATGAATTTTACACTCCTGCAATAAGCAAATAAACACCAGCCGGTTAAGGCTTTGCGTTGCAGTTTGCACGCCAGCGCGAGTTCCTGGGGAAGAGGGCTGTGGCTGGGGGGGGATCGTCAGGAGCTCTGCATCACGCAGGATTTGTTTGGTCAGGTCCTTGTTTTGCTGCCAGGGTCAGCCTGTAGCCGCTGAGCGTCAGGAAACTCAGAGTAGTGTTCCTTGCTTCTTCGGGTTCATTTTCCAGAATGGAAGCGAGGGAATAGTGATAGATCCTGGAGTCGTCTCTGTTGCCCAACTGTTAGTCTGCAGAGAAAACTCTGTTTTGGGTACATTTGGCAATCTTGCATAAATTTACCCCCAGAAAGAATTGCTTTGGGTAGTTGCCAGGTCATCCTTAAGGCTGTGAGGGTTGAGTCATCATTCCACAAATCAGAATCTCTGCTGGTAACTTTGGGGAAATACCATTTCACTTCCAGTCAGAGGATTTGTCCCGTTCCAGCTAAAACTTCTCCTGACGGAGAAGCTGCTGCCGCCGTTCGTGAAGGTGTTTGTCCCTGTGCAATGGTGTGACTGGCGTCACATCTCCTTGGCCATCTTTGACTTCTCTGGGTAACCCAGCCCCATCTGGCATTATGCTGCATGGCGTTGCTGTGCAGGATGCACCTTCCTGGGGACAAAAGATCCAAGGTGTGTGTGGGAGACGAAGACTCTGGCTTCCCACCAGATGACGTGTCCAGTTTCACGTTAGACTTTGCTTTAGAAGGTTTGATGCTGGTACCTTCTTTCTGGCTGCACCTCTGCAAAGATCTCGGGTGTCAGGTGGTCCGGCAGCACCGCCGTGTTGCTACCGCTTGTGGTTTTGGTGGGCTAAGGACTTTTAGTGCCTGTGATAGAACGGCCTGTGGGTGGAAAGGCTTGTGGTGGGGATATTTATACTGATCGGTGTGTTTCTGCTGGGGCGGCTGGTTCTTGCTCATGGCAGCTCTTGAGCTGTTACAGCCCTTTGTGTTCTTTCCCCAGTGGGAAGAAATCAGCGGTGTGGATGAGAATTACAAGCCGATACGCACGTACCAGGTCTGCAACGTCATGGAGCCAAACCAGAACAACTGGCTGCAGACAGGCTGGATTGCCAGGCGCGATGGCCAGAGGATCTTCATCGAGCTGAAGTTCACCCTGCGGGACTGCAACAGCATCCCTGGTGTGACAGGCACCTGCAAGGAGACTTTCAATCTGTACTACGTCGAGTCTGACTCCGACCTTGGCCACAGTGTCCACGAGAGCAAGCACACCAAGATCGACACCATTGCTGCTGACGAGAGCTTCACGCAGGGGGACCTGGGTGAGCGTAAGATGAAGCTGAACACCGAGCTGAGGGAAATTGGGCACCTGAGCAAGAGAGGCTTCCACTTGGGCTTCCAGGACGTGGGTGCCTGCGTGGCGTTGGTCTCCGTGCGGGTCTATTACAAGAAATGCCTCGCCACTGTGCAGAACTTGGCCGTGTTTCCAGACACGGTGGCAGAGACGGCCTTCGTGACTTTGGTGGAAGTTAAGGGCACTTGTGTCGCTCACGCCGAAGTGGACGTGGATAATCCCCCCAGGATGCACTGCAGCGCGGAGGGCGAGTGGCTGGTCCCCATAGGGAAATGCACGTGCGGCCCCGGCTTCGAGGAGAAGGACGGGGGATGCAGAGGTAAAAGTGGCTGTCGGTGTCCTCTGGCAGTTTTTGTCTGTGTTGGTCCGCGTTGTGCCAGACTGCTCCAGTCTGTCTGGTGCCTGAGCACAGCTCAGACGAGGAATTGCCTTTTGTCAGCAATATGATTCTTTTAGCTGATTGCAGCTCCCCAGCTAACAGCCAGACCTTAATTTGAAGGGTGGCAATTGGGTAAATGGGGCGCGTTGCCGGTAGCTGCTCTGCAGCACGGTGTTGGCTGGCCAGACGTGCCAAAGCTCTGAACACCGTCAGGCGTTTCCCACAGCTTTATCTGTAACTGTAAAATTACTCTAGAACATTAATATCCCCATTGTCATGCTTTAGACACAACTTAATAATTCGGTGACTTTACAGCTCACAAGGTTACGTTTGATGACAGCTGTAAAAATGGATGTGACCCCTGCCTTAATGGGTATCCCTCTAGTGAACCTGGTGCTGTGACCACTTCGATCTCGCTTTCAAGGGCAGGTGAGGGCCAGGCATAGGATCAGCCCCGAGCGCGCGGGATACGGCTGCGCGTTCCTGCTCTTGGAGTGTGGGAGCCTCTGCAAGGAGAGAGGGGTCGGGGCTAATGCCTCTTCCTGGGCACCTTCCCTCTTCGGGCCGTGGTCAGGACCTCGTCCCAGCTCAGCGTGGTCTCGACTGTCTCTGCACCAGCACGAGCCGGCAGCGGTCCCGGGCGAGCAGGGGCTGCTCTGTGCGGCGGGGTTGGGGCTCCCTCCCCCGCACTGGGGGGTGTCCCGGGCGAGCAGGGTCTGCTCGGTGCGGCGGGTTTGCGTCTCCTACCCCAGCAGTGGCTGTTCCTCCATCGGCACCCAGGGGTTTTCTTCTCTGGAAGGTGTAATTCGCTGTCAGTTATTAACTGGCAGTGCGCATGGCTGCCCTGTTAGCCACGCTCCTCCGGGGCAGCTTGGACGTGCGGGAGGTGCTTTCTTCAGTAAGATATGCCTGAAAAGACCCTTCGCTGCCTGTGCCTGGTGTCCAGGTGATACCTTGGACCTCTTACCTTTTCACTTGGTAGAAAACAGATGGAGAGGAAAATAGGTAAATAAGTCCCAAAGAGGTACAGCTCCCCCGTGTCTGAGGCGTACGGTATGGTAGGAGAGTGAGCTTTTCCTGAGGAATCATCTCTGTCCTTCAGGAGCTACTTGAGGCTTTTCGGATTTAAATTGCGCCAACTGTGCCGCCTTCCTGCCGGAGGTGGGAAGCCCTTCCCGGCGCTCCGGGTAGTGGCTGCTCGCTCCGTGCCCTCCTTAAGAAGACCTTATTAAAACTATCGAATTGAAATCTCAGCGCTGTTCATTGCTTCAGTGGCTGCGTGGCAGCTCGCCATGCTTTCCCCATCTGTTTGGAGTGGGAATTTACATAGCGAGTCCCAGAAGGCTTTTGCTAATGTTTCAGGTTTCTCTGTGTTGAGTTTAAATAATTCATATTCTCTAAGGAAAAATATTTGAAGTAATTTAATGGACATAATTAAGTTTTTTCCCCCTCTCCCAGAAAGCAGGTCATTAGTCACTCTCTGTGGAGCAGCGTCTGATGTCTGGACAAATATCGGAAAATAGCTTTTAAGGGTTGAAAGTTTTTGGTTTGTTTTAGAGCCCTGCATTAGCATAGTGCTAAGTGAATAACTTTAAAAGATTTCTGATGAAAGCATCCAGGGCCGCGGAAATTCTTCAACAAGGACAAAAGCCCTTGAGCTGGAGGCAGGTAAATATGGTGGGAGTTTGGGGATGTTAAAACTGCCAGGTAATGGCACAGCAAATCTGGCTCCGCCGCTGTGGTCCCGTGGCGGTGGCTTTGGAGGGCTCAGCGCGTGCGAGTCCGCTGGATCCTTGGCCGCAGCCTGTCGCAGCTCTTGTGGCCGCGAGAGGTTGGACCCCGAGCTTGCTCAAGGGCCGGAAAGCAGGGACTGGGCGGGGGCTGAGCCCCCATCCCATGCAGGGGTGGCTGCCGGTTCTCCAGGCTCTCTTGGGTGCTGCTTTGCAGCTCCTGGTCCTTTCCTTTATCCTTTGATCTTCTCCGGGGACTTTCTGGCTGTGCCTGCAGCACAGGACGTGCTGGTGTCTGAAATTAGTTGCCGCACCGACTGCCGGGGTCACCGTGTGTCGGGGGACCCACGGGGCCTGGCCGCCGGCCGGATCCGGGATGGATCCAGGGTGGTGCTTAGGGCC